GTGTTTTCGCTTATTTTTCTCCTATTGCCCACATAATATAGCCTCTTCACATCACTTCTCCCCCTCCACTCCCCCGTTTTTCCACATGCCGTTCCATGTTTATGTTTAGTCCACATTCTCGCCTCTTACCTCCTTGTTTCTCTCTCCCCGCCTTCATCCCCGCCCTCCTCGGCAGCCCCACCCACTTTATGTTTATTCCACATTATCGTCAGTCACCTCCTTGCTTTCCCCCCCGCCTTCATCCCCGCCTTCCTCGGCAGCTCCACCCACTTCCCCGCATTCAAAAAAGCCGTTTTTCTCGCCAACCTTCCGGCTTGAAAAAGAAGACCTGGCTCTTCGAAACGCATAGCCGCAACAACGTTCACCTGCCCACACTTGCCTTTTCCCCGAGACTCAGCACTTGTCGCCCCCCGGGCGTCCCTGCTCGCACCCTCGAGCGCTGAAGTCACATCAATCCCACTGACTCTCCCGGCTCTGCCGCCTGCAGCGTCTATCTCCTGGCAACCGCCTATCACAGCCTTCTCCGCTCTCTGTGCTCGCCTGCCTCCAGCCGTCCTCTCTCCCTCTGACACACCGCTCGTTGTCTCGGGCTGGCTTGCTCGTGCCCTCGAGCCTTGGAGTCTCAAGACTCCCATCAGCGATCCTTTGCTGGACACCTCAGGCTCCATCACAGTCTCTTCCCCCCCACACACCCGATCAGCCCAGTGCATATGCCCACACTGACCTGACACTTCCAGTCGCTAGACCCATCAATCTTAAGCAGCAACACAGTGCACACCAGCTGCACCATACCCCCCTCAGTCCCAACATCATCCAATAGCCCATGTACACCCGTGCCTGTCACCCCCCTCCCATGCACTAATCGGACCCAGGCTCCCACCACCATCCAGCACCCCCCAAACCCTCAATTCCCCCTGACCGTCCCACAAGCACAATTGATTGCTCATAATCCCCACCAGTGGAGGTCCCCCATCCATCCACCCCTCATCGATGATATCGCATCAGCTATTACTTTTTGGTAAGTTTTTCAATTCTGGCTAAATCCAATTACTTATGGTAGTAGCGCTTCTATCCCCATTTTTTGTTCTCCTAGAGTGGGAGATAGACAGACAGGTTGGGGTAGAGGTAAAGACATGAACTGCATACATTTTAAACATGCCCATTACCTTTCCATGGACATACGAGTAAAGGAAAAAAATGTATCCGGGTGAGCTCGCAAATCCTCATATAAACTCCAGAACTGACCCTTGAATTCGCGGTGCCTCAAGATCGGGTCCGGTGCCTCAAGATTGGGTGTACCAATAATGACGTCTCCTGCGAGTTCATTCTCTGCAGATTGCTGTAGCCAGCACCATCAACATGCCTGCAAACATGTGATACATGTCTGATCACCAGCTTTACATACACAAAGGGAAGTAGATGTTACGAGAGGGCGGAAGTGAACTCAGAGAAAGAATCTGCATACTGACAGCCCCGCGGCTTGAAAAAAATAAAAAAAAATGAACTGTCAGCATCCGGACCGAAAACGCGTCAAAAACGCACTGCATAAGTAGCACCGCGTCTGCAGATCCGCACCTGAAAATCATGTGAACAGGCCCTTAAAAGGCTGACTCACATATAGATTCTCCAAAGAAACAGACCCAAGTGTAAGGATACATCCAGTTAGAAAAAAAAGACAGTTGCTCAACAAGATGGTCTAGGTACGGCTACCAAAGCTATTTCTAAGGAAAACACGGATCTGGATAACTTCTGTGTAGAGACCAGTACAAGCAGTATGTTGTACTAGGGAAAATATAGTAGAAATATAATTAGAATTTTCCTTAGCAGAGCTGAAGAAAAAGCCTCCACCCTCCTAGGACGCTTGCAAAAACTGTCCTAGTAGAATGAGCAGAAACAGGAAAAGGAAGTATCTGATCCCGCAACTCATAAGCTTGAATGACAACCTGACAAGTCCACTTAGCAGATCTAGAAGCTGAACAACCATATTTAGCAGCTTAAGGTAGAACAAATAAAGACTCCGAACGCCTAAAGCGAGCTGTAGGCTGACAGATAAACTCTAACAGCCTTTTTTTTTTCTCCAGTCCATCCAGATCCATCTGATCTTCCTTCTCCAATCTTGCCCAAATTTTATACCTATCTCTAGGCCCAATTGGTGCGGCCGCCATATGGCAACCCCAGTCCTATTAATAACCAGAGGTCACAAATGTGAGGATTGTTCACTTAACCGTGTTTGGGCTGCACCTGATGGTAGCCGCTGACCATGTTCAAATTCGTGTCTACCCAGTTGAATGATAGTCCAAGGTGGACCCATACGGGACAACCGGTGGTTGAGGCCACATAAATCCACAGGTCTGGGTATATTCTTCTATCTCATGATTTCTATGTATACAGTGGCTGCGTCCACTGAATCTATGTTGGGCGCTTTGGCCCCCTGTGTGTTTACCTTTGAGTGTAAATATGAAAATCTTGTCGAATAAAAGAATGTATTAACCCCTTCATGACTGAGGCCTTTTTTTCATTTTTGTACCCATGTTATATTCCAAATTTTAGGCCTGAAAATTACTTAAAACCCCCCAACATTATATATTTTCTGAATGCCAAGACCCTATAGAATAAAATGGTGGTAGTTGCAAATTTTTATGTTGCGCAATATTAGCGCAACTCCTTATTAAACCCCAATATTTAGTGAAAAATTTAATTAAATGCCCCAAAACACAACAAAATACCCATTTTTTAAATGAAATATAAAAGATGAGGTTACAACGAGTAAAACGATACCCAACATGCCCAGGTTACAAATTGCGTGCATCCGTAAAATGGCGAAAAACCCCAGTACCCCAAAAAGTCCATAGAAGACGCTTTAAAAGCCCCCACAGGTCATCAATTTAGAGATACCCCAAAATACTGGCCCTAGAATTATTGCTCTCAAAAAAAAAACCTCAGCCTGCACAACTTCCAAGCAATGAAGCGAAGTCTCCTTAGGATGAACTGGAACTAAAGAAAGTGAAGGTAGAACAATGTCTTCATTTAAATAAAGGGCCAAAACCACCTTGGCTAAAAATGAAACCTGCGGTCTTAAAACAACCTTGTCCTATGAAGAACCAAATAGAGTTCTCCACAAAACAAAGTAGACAACTTGGAAACCCTTCTAGCTGAGGTAATGGACACTAGAAAGGCAACCTTTTGAAGGTCAAAATGAGGTTTTTGTAGAGTGGATAAAATCATGTTCAAATCCCACAGAGGAAGAGGAGACCTAACAAGAGGAGCCACATGTGGAAATGCCTGAAAAAAGTACAAATCAAGGAATTACAAGCCAAAGGATGTTGAAAGAAAAAAAAAAAAAAGGACTGACAAGGAAGATATCTGAACTTTATGGTACTTTGAGCTAAATGTTAATCCACCAGAAATTGAAGGAAAGACAAAATTCGCAATATTGAAAAAATGAAAATAACCCTTCCACGTACGTGATAAATCTTATGAGTAGAAGATCTACGAGCCTTACATAGTATTTGAGGTTGCATAAAGACACAGGTCCATCAAGTTCAACCTTTGTGTGTCTGTATGTGATTGTGCGTGCGTGTTTATATGAATCCCTGTGTGGTCTAGTTTTTAAGAGAACCTGTACCCCTGTATGTTATGATCTCTGAGGAAGTTATCTAAATGCTTTTTGAATGATTCAATACTCTCAGCTGATACCACTGCTTGTGGCAGAGAGTTCCAGACCTTAACCGCTCTAACTGAAAAAAAGCATCTACGCCCTTTGTGGTTAAATCTTCTCCAGCAGTTTTAGGTGGTGGTAGTCTTGGTCATGGAGTTTACAGTAAAAAGTTTATTGCAGATGTTGCCATCACCACTAAACATTTTGTACATCAAAATCATGTCTCCTCACTTTCCAGAGTAAACAAGTTTAAATTTAGTAGCCTTGTCTCATAGCTTAGATCCTCCAGCCCCCTAATAAGTTTAGTTGCCCGTCTCAGGACTCTCTCCAGCTCAAGGACATCCTTTCTGTGGATTGGTGACCAAAATTGCACCGCATACTCCAGATGAGGCCGAACCAGCGATCTATAAAGTGGCTAAATTATTGCTTTGTCTCTGCAGTACATTCCCTTTTTAATACAAGACAGTACTCTGCTCGCTTTGTTTGCCGCAGCCTGGCATTGCAAGCTATTGTTCAATCTGTGGTCTACTATGACCCCCAAATCTTTTTCCATTTCTGACTTCTACTGGAGTACCCCTAAAAGAGAACTATTGTCTGAGTGTTTTTCCCCGTAGTTCTCTTTAGGGTCACTGGAGGATGTATACTAAGCTCCTCCCCGTGACTAAAGCTCAGTATATAGTGGGCTATTGCTGCAAGCCTTATTTTTTCAGAACACACTGGACCGGAAAGCAAGCACTAAATGTGCCTGCGTTCCGGGTGCAGGCGATCGCACTGCGGTGCCATTGACTTCAATGCACTGCCTCACCCCCTCCCGTCCCTGAATGCAGGGAGTCGGCCAGCTTGTGTTCCAGAGGCCGAACGCACTGGAAAGCAGAGTTTGTGGTGTGAACCGGTCCTTGGTGCTGGCCAATTGATTTTTGTGCTTTAGTGCTGCCCACCTGATCTCAGTTGAAGGTGATCAGCAAGAGTTCAGATAGATGGTCTGCACTGGAGAAGATTTTTTTTTTTCTTACTCATTATTTAGCCATATCAGAAGGACTATTACAGGAGGTCAAGGATCTCCATAGCCTGCAGCGTGCAACCCCAGCTTACAGCTATGCAATCACCAGAGAGGGTAAATTTTGCTGAATATACAGCTCTAACTGTGACTCTGGCTGATCACACTCAGGCAGAAGAAGTTCTCTCTGTAGCTTACCACCAGGGTCTGACATTTTGTATGCTGCTTTTGCATGTGAATATACTGTATTAACACATAAGACATCAACTGAGATTTAAGCATACGTGGTTTTAGGAACCTTTTCCACGGCTTTAAATATCTGGTTGTGGTTTGCACTTCTTGGCCTATAATGCAACATACAGTAACTGCAAACTACACTCATTCCTGTGCATATCATCAGTAAGAGATGACAGATATTAGGACTGGGCCATCAATTGCACCAACCTCTCCAAGACTTCGCTCAGACTGCTCCAGCAAAGACTGTGATGAACTTGCCAAACTGGAAAGCAGAAGCTGTGTTCTGGCTATTGCTTCTCTCTGGCTCTGCATTAAATCCTTCGTTACCCAAACATTAAATAAAGGCAAGCCAGCCGAGCAGATAGAATGCACTTCAAATTGAATATCTGTAATAAAAAGAAAAATAGTAAAAACAATAATATAAATAACTCTGGTTTCAATAAAATACATTCTAACATGGCACTCCTGGGTATTTTCTAATTTCTGGCTAATGTGTCATCTCCAGGTATGTCCCATCACAAACAAGATAGCATAATAAAAACTGCTGAACCTACAGGCCACTATAAAAATAAAATCGGATAATGCAGATTTTTATTACTCTTTTTCTGATTTTAAATAAGTAAAACAAGGTGCACATTATTCATCACGGTGTTTGAGGAAAGTCTCTATCAGGACACAATACTAAATCAGATTCAAACTTTTATTTTTCATCTCCAGCTTTCCAGCATCAGGTGGCTTGATATATAAAACAATACAGGCTTTTTGGGCAGTTCTCTCAGACACTTTAATAAATAAGAGTTATTTTTGCTGCCAAGTTTTACAGTAAAAAAAATATTGTATAGCCAGGTTCATTTAACAAATGATAAAAATGTGTTACCGAAGATGCATAGGTGATGTGAACTGCTATGCTACAATTGAGATGGCTAGCTACTCTAATTGTATCATTAGGGAGGTGCAGACTAATTAAAATTACTCGTTCTATAATGCACAACTCTAGCTAGTGTTTGATGCATACTCGGGAGGTCTTCAATTGCTCCGTGTCAGTTTACATCTCATGTGTTATTGATATGTACTATATCTAGATACTTTATCATCTGATGTCAATGGTAAAATAATTGCTCTTGGTGCTGCGTTTTATACTATGCATGATGAAAACTCAAATCGACTGGCTGATTTTGCTACAAAAGTCAGTATGTAAAAAAAGTGAGTTCTTACAGAGTCTTGAGCCATCTCGGTGATGACAGCATCCACTGAAGTTTCCTTCTTTAATGTCACCATTATAAGAGGAGGTTGGTAGAACCACATCATGGCTGTGGTTTAAAGACGTTAGCACCAAGGAATGGGTAGATCTATTCCTCACAGGGGTGGAGGTAACCTGGGAATATTCTTCTGTGGGAGGCTCCGTTCTTTCATTATGGCTTGAAGGACTCTCTGGAGATCTGTTGGGTAAGTCATAGTCTAACCCATCGATATCTTGTTCTGGCTGAGCATCCACCGATTGATGTGTGCGCAGAGGGCTCTGTAGTGCAGAATATACTGTCTCTATGCTGGTGGAAGGGATATTGTCTGCATAGACATCCTCATCAATGTGTTCAGAACAGTGTGCAGATAATAATTGTGATGGATTATGGGGTGGGGGGTCTGTGTTTTTCAAAGAGTTGCCTTGTAAAAACGATTGTTTACTGGATACTGGGCTACTGTGACATAATGGAGGATTTGAAATGAGTGGTGAGTTACAGGACATATCTTCTGCCGTGCAAGTATTATTAGGTGCATCAGCATCTACGGATGGTAAAGGTGTGTTATAGTGCAAATTCTCAGCACGCTTGGTGCATATGGAAAGGGTGACTGATGGAACAATAGAACAGCTAAGAAGTGGGGCCACCTGCACTGTGACTGGGGCAGGATTAGGTGGGGGATTTATTTTGTTCAATGTAGATGTACACTGGTGACAATGGCTGTTTTCGTCATGCTCCAAACCATGGCAGGCATGCAAAAAATGGTTGGGCTTGGTTTCATCCTTTACTTTTTCCTGATTGTAATTTCCAGTTAAACTCAAGCCTTTTAAACAGTGGGTGAGAGGCTCCATATCCACCCCTGGAAGGAGGTCATGCAGCAAGCATCTCCTTATTACTGGTCCTCTGTCCCACTGCTCATCCTGTGTTGGAGTTCCAGGAGACAGGCAACATGCTGGCATACCCAGGCTGCATTGATCTGGAAGGGATGTGGAAGCAAACTGGTGTTGCCCAATAGCTGTCCTGCAGAAAGGATAAAGCAAGAGGCATCACACAGCTGTTACTAAAGAAAGATGTGTTATTCATAATACATTATATAATTCAATACAAATTCATAGGCTTTCATGATCCTTGGTTTATTTGTAAACTATGGACTGTAGAAATGGCAGTTGAATTCCGATTGGTTGCTATGTATATGAAGCCAAAGCATTGCTCATGGTCTTCCTGATATATATATATATA